GACGTAACCACACTTGCCTGCCAGGTTCCATCCGGTGGAGTTGAGCATGCGCGAGGCGAGGTAGATCATGGGGATTTCCGCGACGTAGTAGGCGGCACGGCCGACACCGGTGCTCAGAGCGCGGAGACGGACCGAGGATGTCTCGGAGATGATGGTGTAGGAGATGGGGCCGAGGGTACCGGCAAACACGAATGAGATGAGGATACCGAGACAGGCCTGGCTGTAGTTGGTCGACGAGTTCTGGGGGATCGAGGCGCAGATACCCAGGATCATAAGCAGAGTGATGTTGGTGACGGTGCCCCAGAGATAGATGGTTCGACGACCGAACCAGCCGGTAAGAGGCCAGGAGCAGGCGTTGGCAACGAATTGGAGGCAGGAATTGATCAGGTTGAGCTGGAAAGCACGGTTGTGATTGATACCGGCCTCTGAGCGGGGTCAGTCTCTCTGTCACTCCTGTAGGCACAGGGGGTACTCACGCTCGAAGAAGAAAGTGGCCTGGTTAGCAATCAAGTTACCGGCGAAATTCTGCGAGGCGTACATCAAGCAGGTGATGATAGTTCGTCTCAGATCGGTACCCTTGAACAGGTCGAGGAGGGTAGGGGTACCACCCATCTGCTCTTCGATCTTGACGGTTCGCTCAATCATGGCCAGGGACTGCTGAGCATGCTCTGAGGACTTGGCACCGAGGCGCTCGATGGAGCGAAGAGCCTCCCTCTTGCGTCCGCGACGAATCAACCACCACGGAGATTCGGGGGCGAGGAAAATGAGGACCAAGAGGGGGGTCTAACAAGTCAGCTTCGTAGGTACGAGACCTAGGAAAAGAGACTTACAGGGAAGATCCACTGCAAGGCCAGAGGCACTCGCCAAGCCCACTCATCGTCTCGCTTATTGTAGCCATAGGTAGCGGCGGCGACAATGATGGAACCGATCGACCAACTCATTTGCAGAGTAGCCGTGCAGGCACCTCGAAGAGCGAGAGGGACGATCTCACTGGCGTAGGCGGGGGAGTTTGCAATGAAGAAACCCCACGGGACACCTTCCAACGCTTGTCCGACCACCAGCAGGGTGAGTGAGTCGGCCTAGTATTTGGTCAGCTCAGCTCAGACGGAGCGTGGTCATATCAGCGGCAACTCACGAAGAAAGAAATGAAAATGGTGGCGTTCATAAGCATCAAGGCCAAGATGGTAGTCCAGCGGTAGCCAAGACGGTTGGTGACGGGACCAGCCAGGAATACACCAACAAAAGCACCGCATTGACCCGATTGGAAGAGAGCACTCTGCCACCGGGTTGGGATAGCATAACCACCTCCTTGCACTTGTACACCGTATCTCTTCTGGAAAGCGGATTGCGCGACAAAGTTACCATTCAAAAACATGTCAAACGACTCCATAACCTGTTGCCCATTAGCACTACAAAAGATGAATTTCTGCTATCCGAGGGATACTCACAATGGTGAAGCACATGGTAAAGGCCCAGAAACAAGCCCAGGGATGGGCCTTGACGGCCGCCCACAAGCCCATCTCATGCTCGCGGTTCTCACCATCAAAGGCATCGTTCATGAGATCCTTGTTGGCCAAGATTTCGGCATGATGAACGTCGACTCGATCATCCTCCTTCAACTCCCCCTTTACCTCGCTGGTATCTGACGACATTGCTTGGATTGGTCGATATATTACCGTGCCAATGCGAAAAGAAAAAGGATAAAGGCAGAGGGAAAACAGAAAAGGGAAAAGGGCAAGGCAGGGGGGTTATCTTTTAAAACCTATGCATCTGCATGGCGTGCGCGTGATATGTGATACGTGGATTAATTATTAGATGCAATCGCGCCAGTAGGCAGCGGTCCGAATCCGATGTTACTGCAGCTTGTGCCGCCGGGCTTTGTCCCATTACCCCCTCGCCGTAAGGAGACAATTACCCGAAAGCGGCCAGGCGCCGAAGCAACATAGCGGAGTGGTGCCATTGTGTTTGACAAAAACTTACCTATTGGACTGGAACCTGCTGATCAGAGGATTGTGGCGTCGGGCCAGCCTGCTTATGGCCACGAGTCTGAAGGGGAGAGCATAGTCCTCCATGGGGGGAATCTCCATGTTTGAGGATAAATATGCGGGGCCCCAAGACAAGACCATGGTTAGTGCTTGTTAGGCTTGTCCAGTCTTGGTTGTTTTCTTGTTAGTCTCTTATTATTGCTTAGCTAGTGCTAGACCACATGTCGCATTACCTATGCTTTTGCCTTCTTGTCTTAGCTTGTCATTTAATTAGTTCTAGCTCATGGTCTGATTGGTCATAGACTTTTTAACTATCATGACAGTCTAGGAGGCGGCCTTGCCGCCTTAGGCTCTTGCGACCGATACTGCTGCACCGGGTGTTAAATGAACCCTAGTGATTTTAATATTATGGTGGTACAGGACTTCCAAATAGTCCTTATTAAATTGTTCTGGGTAGAAACTAACTCACTGGTCTTATATTTCTGTACCTACCACCCGCCATGTCACCACTTCGGAGGAGAGAAAACTTCAGACACGCCAAGGGCACGCTACAACGGGGGAAACTCCTTTGGGATTATTGGCCGCTGCCAAGCCTTCTTTAGCTGAAACTTTCAAGCATGCTAATCTTGCATTTTGACCTGTTTGCTCGGAAATAATTTCAGTCCTGTTGGCGACTTGCAATGGGAAAGGTGCAGAACCTGATTACTAGTGCGTCCTTCATCTTCACTGGCCTTTCGATGTACTCTATGATACATCTAAAGCACATGCCAAAAAGGGCTGCCCAGCTGACTTAAACGCCAGGATTTCTTAGTACAAATCCTGATTTCCTCGGCCTCGAGAGTCCAATAACGCGGGGACGACCGAGCTAGATGAATGAGGGATGGACCCGGTGCAGCAAGTGATCCTGGAGCAGAAACTGGGGATGAGAAACTTTGACTGTCTGTTCTGCGATCACTGAGTTAACTAACCAGTTATGGAAGCAGTCATTCAATAGGTAGAATGTACCGAACCCTATTCTACTATTCTAGACTCTCTCTCAACCCATCGGGCAGCCCGCGGTGGAGACCCTGTTCCCCGTGTCTAGAATGCCTGCTTTTACCCGAAGTTCCCGACGAACCCGAGTCCTGCCCAGATCCGTTCAGGTTTGACCCTTCAAGTAGACAACTGTGCGTATGTCTCACGGCCAATTTCCCGCTGTTCATGTATAAATTACTGCCGAGGTAAGATAGACGACAGCTTAAAGCTCAATCCCAATGTTGCCAAAGACATATAGGCTGGAAGTGGTATAATCCTACAGCCGGTGGCGTATATTTCAGCTAACGGAGGAAAATAACCTTCCTTGCTGTCAGATTATTTGGAGTTGCAAAGTCCAGAACTATTTGATATGAATCATAATGACATATACTGAAGATTTGGAAAGGAGATTACGTATGTGCTGTGGTATCAGGATTAGTTAGATTGAGATCCTAGCAGCTCTCGCAGTAGGAATGAAAAGGGTAGTTCGGACGAATAGGAAGTTTTATAGATTCTGTCACACCTGCTACTCTTCGCCCGGGATTTGGTCTACAACCCAAGTACTGTAGCCATCGGCCAAAAGGACTCTACTCCTTGAGGAATACACCCATGGCTGGCCACAGACTACCAAGGAGACATGCTAGCGAACCAGGAGTCCATTTAACCCACAGTATGCAATCTCCAATGTCTAATCTGGAATATGAGACCCAAACAAAGAAATCAAGCTCTGGTCACAAGTCAAGTTCCATGGACGGTCATTCTCAACTAGCCACCACGCTATCATACTAGTTTTGCGATTGTGTAACAGAACTCTTCTCGTAGGGCCGGTCATTGCATCTCCATCTTTACCTGCTGGTTGCCGCTTGGGAGTGACTCGAGACATCATACTGACTCATATATTGTGTTATACAGGTCGGCGGTCAAAGGTATATACTTCTCAAAGGCACCTCATCGACCAGTAGGACAGATGTACATTCCCATGTAAGACTTTTTCATGAGTTGATCACATTACTACTGGTCTGTGGTGCAACTTAAATCCAACATGGCCACCTCGTCCCAAGCTCACGTCCACCACCCCTTCGAGGTTCCCTCTTCAGACATATTTCTCAACGCTAGATGTGTTCCAGGCCTCACAGCTAACGGAATGCATTCTACTCCTCCCAGAATGGCCAGCGCAAATCCAGCGCAGGGGCCTGTTCTGCCCTTGCCCACGTCGTGCAGTCGCTTGGGCCAGTGGAGATGACCTCGTCCAAGTTCATTGGCGCGGACTATGAGACCATTTTCAGGTTATGGACCGTAGTCCACCGTCTAGGGCCATCCACAGAGTACGTGGGACAGATACTAATGACAGACTAACAGGCTGCAGGGGAGCGATGCGTGTGCAAGACCTGCATTTAGTTCTGATACCTACAGGCAGGCTTCAGCGCTTTGCACCAGTACAATGACTGTCAACCATTACGACGGCTTCAAGTCTACTGAGGCAAGACCACCAATAAGGAAACATTGATTGTGAATGAAAGGGATTCTGACGCGCTTGCTACGCATTCTTGATAGGTTGCTTGACAGATTTTCTGCCTTGCGACTGAAATCACCGACCAATTAGCTATCTGGTGCCTTGCTGAGATTTGATCACTTGAGGGGTAGGTAGGCCAATCACATATCACCACTAGGTACCTACTGGAGCAGCCTCAGCCCCGAGATTTAAATACTCTGACTAACAAGTAACAACGGCCAACAACTAGGTATCTTCATCAGAGTACAGCTCATGCAAGATATCTATGCTCTATAATATTCACTACTAGGCTCGTTAAGTTATATACTGGTTGATTCCATTTTCTCGGACCCCCGATGCAGACTTAAAAGATGTGGAGTCGCTATTCGACTTATCTCTCCCAACGAGCATCAGCAGATCGTAAAAAGAGCCATAGAGATCTCCTGGGGACTCACAGCCAGAGCTTGGGGTTTAGGCAACTTGACAGAGTGAAGATCGATTGTTCGTTCATGCCGGATTCGAAATGGGGATTCCTTGGAACTGAACCTGGTATTCCTGCTTGGCTACTCTATCTTCAACTACAATTCAGCCAGCCAAGCGATTGCAAACTCGCAAGCGCAAATATCGAGCTTACATTTGAGAAGATAGGGCCCATATACGGGTCCAACCTAGGGCCGATACTTACAGAATACTTCGGTCCCAGAGGAGTCATTGGGGGCCTTACGGAGCAAAATGGTGTTGAATCCATCGAACAGAAGCCGTCCATCGTCTTCGAGACCACTGGCGTCAATCTCAATACTATCGGAGAGGGGAGCTCAAAGAACCACCCGGAAATAGGTAAAAACTGGTCTTTGCACGGTTATACCTGGCCGGTAGACGGAGATGAAAGTGGGCTTCATCGGCGCGTGGAATGGATTGTGAAAGAGGCAATTCCACCGCACCAGATAATTCTTCATCGTGACAGAATTCGAGTGGGTCTTATTCTACAACATGACTCAGAGCCCTTTGCCATCACAGTACGCATTGAAGGACGGCTACAAGGGAGCCAAGGTTGGTTTAAGTTTCCTCCGACAGAGTCCTCTCCAAGAAGCCTTCGGGTTCGAGTGTCGCCAACTCCGAATGAGCAAACCCCACTGGATGAGATTGCCAGACGATTAGATGAGGACTTGACAGCCCTTATTGTTCGGAATTACCAAAAGGCGTCCAAAATGCTCAAGAGATCAAGGTCAGACGACCATCAAAGCCTTGGCACTCAGTCCTCAAAAGAAGCGCGACTCTTAGTTGAAAAATCGGTCTCTGATTTATCTGTCGAGATGCAAAAGGCGCCCGAAGAATATACTATCGGCTGGATCTGTGCTCTACCACTCGAAATGGCAGCCGCAAGAGCGATGCTGGACGAAATTCACCCTAGTATGCCAACTCCACCGAATGACCACAATAGTTATATCTTAGGAAGCGTCGGGCCCCACAACATAGTGGTCGCATGTCTCCCCGCTGGAGTATATGGCATAGCCCGTGCAGCAATTGTGGCCTCTCAAATGGTAGCTACTTTCCCTTCCATACGGTTTAGCCTGATGGTCGGAATCGGCGGCGGCGTTCCTAATCGCGACCCTGATATTCGACTGGGCGATGTCGTTGTCAGCAAACCAACCGGGAGACTTGGCGGAGTGGTGCAATATGATTATGGAAAGACCGTTGCAAGTGGCAGGTTTGAGCCAACTGGTTCTCTAAATAAGCCACCACAGACACTCTTAACTACTATTGCGAAGATGCAAGCCGAAAGCATGGTATGTGGCAGCAGAATAGCTAGCCACCTCACTGAGATGGTGCTCAAACACCCGCAAATGCAGAAGTTTACCTATCCTGGCCAGGACCGGGATTGCCTTTTCAGAGCTGAATACGATCACACGGAGCCGAACCCTACTTGTGTGTCCTGTGATTCAATGCAGCGCCTGATTCATCCGCCTCGAGCTAAGAACACTCCAATCGTTCATTATGGCATCGTTGCATCAGGAAACCAAGTTATGAAGCATGGAAGGACTCGCGATCGGCTTGCGGAGGAGCATGGGATCATGTGCTTCGAGATGGAAGCTGCCGGTCTAATGGATACTTTTCCCTGCCTGGTCATCCGGGGAATTTCCGACTACGCGGATTCACACAAGAACAAAGAATGGCAAGAGTATGCTGCTGCCGCCGCTGCGGCATACGCGAAAGAATTATTGTGCATGACTCCGGCTAGGCAGGTTGAAATTACGCCAAAAACAGCGGGAGATAAACCCAGGCAGGTAGCGTCATGTGGAAGTGAGAAATCCTTTGGAAAGAGAAGGAGGGAGGAGATTGATCTCTGGGAAGAAAATCAAAGGAAGGGGGTTTAAGGTAGTTCACCCATGGAGCCTCTGTCTCAGATTCACTCATGTTAGTTCAAAACAAGACATAGATTAAGACATGGGATATTCTGCAATGCGACTCATGATGATAAGGCTTCAATGGTGCCTTAGGTAATATTAGGGTGGCACTACGAGAGAGGTAACTGATGAGCTGGACTAGTGTTGTCTTTATAGCAGTAGCTGATCACATGCCATGAGGCTTAAGCTATTTCATGATATTACCTTACATGGTACTGACTGCTTGATGCTCTTTGCAGTTCTTTTGGTGTGATAGCAAGTATAATGCCTGTGCAAGTAGTCATTTGACTAAGATTGGTCTTTTAATCCAGTTGATTAACTCAATCCTACTCTGACATGTTGGGAGTGAGATGCATCTCTTTGATTCAATTTGAGGAAGCAATGGGACGAGTCAGCAAGGACAGGGTCCCGGATTGTAGGATCTTATTAGTTGGGTTTCCACGTATCAAAGTCAAGCCCCGCAGATGAGGAGCCTAGGAGGGGTGAGGGGTTCTCTGCCACCCTGAAGAATCTGGAGACATTTCAATAACCTTCATAGTTGTCTCTTGAACAAACAAACTTGAATATTATCAGCCTGTTAGGCTTGCTCATAATGACATCGCGCCTGGTCGAATACAGCGAACTGACTACCTTCCCACTGGAGCTAGAGTTAGAGGAAGATATTGAGGAAGAAATCCATCACTTTGTGAGACTGAGCCGCTTGGGACATTACGCAGAGGCTCAAAGGTTTTTTGACCAAACTCTAAGAAAACATGACCATCTCTTCCCAGTCTTTGCTGAGTATGCCGATATGCTCTTAGAGCAGGGCCGCTGCAGACAAGCTTCGGAGATTCTGGAGGAGTATATAATGTCAATGAGCGAATCCTTAGGGGATAGCGATGAGATGCAGCTTCTGAAATTAATGAAGTCATTAGCGGACATGCACTCGCAGGGCGCGCTAAGGTCAGCCTTGGAGGAGGCGCAAAGAGCATGGGGACTTTTACAACTGGCAGGCCAAAAAAGCTCCGGTAAAATCCTTAATGAGGTGCAGGCTAGTGAGACCGGATCCATTGGTTAATGTAGCGGACAGACCAAAACTGACTCAAGATCAGATACATATACTCGAGATGTACGTCAATATCGTTGTGTTCGGGTTTCTAACATCGCCATGGATGGATGAAACTTGGATGCGTTGTCCTTCGCTGCGGCCTACTGTGCAAGCAGATAACGGTTTTGTGCAGTGGTTCTGCATATTGAGACAAGAGGGCTTGCTGTGGGAAGCATCCAGGGTTCTACGCGCCCTTATTCCTATAATGCCGAGTTTGTCAGCTGGAGATTTGCGTGAGCTCTTGGACGATTCCTGGATCGCGGTATCCCGATCACAAGGGTTATCCGTCCCCGATCTATGGGCTTCATTGATGGTAACACTACATCAATCTCATTTTTTTCTGAATGCCGCCATACTAGCCGAGGCCATGGGACAGGACAATCGTGCGGCAAAAGTCATATACGAGATGGGCAGGACCAGGCTTGAATTTGCGCAACAAGAATGGAACATGCTGCGATTAGATCAAGATCCCCTGCCGTTAAACCTGCAACTGTCTCTTGAAAGAATAATCTTTGCGATTACAGGAGCTGCTCTGTTTGCTCAGCCTACAGGCTACGATACGACGTTCGCCCTATCAAATCTTCTTTTCGAGGCAGATCGTCGTCAGGACCTCCAAGTCAGATTCTTACTCGTCTCTATATCCTCCTGAGTGATTTCGAGGCTCGCATAGATTGGCGTGCTCTCCACAGCATTCTGGAACTGCTGGAGGTCGACTGTGGCAATGCGGTAGAGCAAATGCAGATATGGTCCCTGTTCGCGGACTGGTCTCCAGCCTCCCGAGTATCAGTTCGATATGCCCCAATGAATCTTCCTTTTGAATCCCACCGCTTCACTTTGCTTTTGTCTCTGCATTCTTTTAAGACATTTTCAGATCAGAAATGGGCGCAACTGCTTAAGAAACGATGCCGACCATCGCTCTTAGATTTTGAGCTCAGAGAAAGCTTCGATAATCCCTGGAATTATCATCCGCTGGGGCGTTACTATCCGTTACCACATAACATACCTTACCTGTCCATGCAGTTACAATTCAATGCTAATAGACTGGATATGGAGCTACCACGGTCTTTCAAGATAAATGAGCTCATCAAAAATCTCGACACTATAAATATTCAACATTATCGCAAATCTGAGTCCCTCCTGAATAGCTTTTCTGAGCTTATTGGCCCCGAAGCCCAGATACCGGAGGTTTTGTGCAGGGATTCCCAGATCCTTGACTCTGATCCCCCAAAACAACGAAATACCGAGAGGTTACTGTCTCATAAAGCCTTTGACTCCGAGGAGCCAAAGCCCCAACCGACCACCAGGTAGGTGCTTCGTCAACTTGTAGGTCATGCCGAACTATCGCTAACACCTCGTAGATTAGAGCCTACGCATGATGACGAGCCTGGATATGCGAGACAGAGAGAGAATATGCCGCCCACAAACCTTCCAGAGCACAGGGCGGCGATGCCCGAGCAGCCATTTAAAAAGACCTCAGTCATACCCGCTACTGGGATTAAAAAGGCACAGACCTCGGCGACTGGTTGGTTCTCTCTGACTCTTAGTTTAGATTAAGTCTCGCTGACGTCTGACCCTAGATGACCGGAGGCATCTACCCATGGTATGTACAGATACTCTTCCATAATGACCATAAACCAAGCCGGGTTGAATCTACAGCGGAGTCTAACAGCTTATGTCAGGCTGACTCAAAGCCAACTATTCACTTCATCAAAGCGATCTGTCAAAGAGAAGAGGAGCCTCCCTTCCGGGCCATTATTGACTATCATCTCGACGCAAACATTATATCACAGAGTTGCCGAAGAATCCTTTCGAGATTTTCCCTTCCTTCATTCCCTCTCCAGCCGGGACGCCAGATCGCGGACTCCCATGGAAATATGCACACCGTAACTGAGCGAATCATGGCAATGGTCGGCAAAAATGGCGACACAGATCCGAGGCTAGACAGGTTCTTCGTCTCCAGCGAGGACAGGCTAGAGCCCTCTGGCTCCTACGACGTTATATTAGGAAGAAAGTGGAAGGAAAAATTTGAGGATAAGGAGTCAAGCGGCTACCGTGCTGCTCCGACCTATTATCCAGATCATGCGAAAGGTCAGTTTTCTTCTTCGCTAGGGTGATAGCATCAGACTAGCTAAGTACAGTATCCTGCAGACAAGCGAACAAGTCAGGAAGAAGAAGGAAACCGGCGAGAGATGATTGCGCGGGGGCAGCTGATGAGGAGGAGGTGAGAACAAACCAGCAGAGAAGGCAGGGCTCGAGATGAAGCTTATTTCTGATTATTGAAACTTGGTGTCTTCTAATCCTGAATACATGAGGTATCTCAAGTCAATACATATTGTGATAGAGCCGTCAGACACCTTGCGTCTATCTGTTCCATGGCCACATGATGTGCTTTTTCTTGTATTCTCTGCTGTGTCACTATTCACTCGGGTTCTATCCATAGTTTTCTGGGTCATGGTCAAAGTTTGAGGATGCATATAGGTGGGTTAGTCTCTTTCACTGGACAACATCTAACTAGTACGTATAACGTTTATAGTTACTGGTAAGAGATACTAGAATCAGTTATGTTTCTCTTCAAAGAGGTACCAAACACAGTCTTCTGACGATTCTTTTTCCTTGACAGAGCCTCTGGAAAGGATATCTTCCCCACAAAGTTTCCGCCTGGCGCCTTATTATAGCAAGCTTCAACCTATAGACTTTCTAATTCAGAATCGGACCAAAGACTGTAGTCTAACGCGCAGGAAGAGGATTACGATGAGCCTTGATCACTTGCCAGGACGCAAAAGTGGATCTTAGCTATGCGCCCTGCGCCTCGCCATGGTTCTGAACCGCTTAGTGCCCGCCTTGCCAGTAGATCTCTAACCCAATTCCAGAGGACTCGGCAGCTTCTGGTTGATACTACCTCAGGGAACGCAGGCAAGATAGAGGAGGATGGGAGCATGACTGGAAGCTTTATGTGTTCTCACAGAAGGCAAGGTTTTGATCCTCTTTGTACCGGCGTTTCAATTTCATTTTACCTACCGCGAACATGGTACAATCCGCGCTAACAGAATTTGTATTGTAAACGCATATCCTCGAAATGGATAAATAAAGGTCAGGTTCTTCTAATCTACCATTATAAGGAATTGAACTCTGTAGAATCATCCCAAATAAGTAAGTGGTTTGAACCATGGAATCAAGTCAGCAGACCGATGGGTCAATCAGAATCAGATTCCCAAGAGTTAGCGAACCTTTACTGAAAACAGTAGGAAGTCCTTGACAGTAAAGCTTATTGAAAATTAGGGTTGGCTATATCCCATCTAGAGACTAACCGAAACCAAGGGCTCACCAAAATCATTAACGTGTGCATGACATCAGGCAACGGGCAACGGAACTACATGCGGTGATATGGGGTGGACCTTTATACTTTAAGCCTTGAACCTCAAGTATATATAGCTCCCCCTCGGGAGAGATATTATAGCCGTCACCTTGCCATCCTGCATACAACAGGCCACTCACTCTCTATACGCCAAAATGCTTGCTGCAACTGTACTACACAGTCTCCTGTTCCCCCTCATGGTATTGACAATGCCAGCTGCAGACACTCATCTTCAACGCAAAGGTCAGTGAATAACTATCACAAGCCTTCTAATATTAATGTTTCACCTAGATATTTCTGCTGGACTTTTAGCCAATCTAACACTATTTTCTGAATATGCTGCTGCCTCTACTTGTGCAGCAAACTTTAACTCACAATCATTATCAAAGGTAGTGTGCGATCCAGGTGTATGCCCAACTCTGGAGCAGACAGACACGAATGTCATGGTTGGGTTCATGGGGTATGATTTCATCAACAGGGCATGAACTCAAAAGCTAACGTCAAATATACATGATCCGGGTAACATCACTGGCTTCGTGGCAGTTGACAACACAAATCAATTAATTGTTCTGTCATTCCGAGGTAGCCGGACCCTAGGCAACTATATCACTGATTCACGATACCAGCAGGTGCCTGCTATTTGTCCAGGCTGCCAAGTGCATAAAGGTTATTACTGGGCCTGGGGAAACTTCTCAGCATTTATAATGCAACCTATTAACCAGCTTGCTGCTATATATCCAAGCTATAGTATCGTCTTCACTGGCCACAGTTTTGGAGGTGCACTAGCTACGTTTGGGGCAGTACTTGAGGGAGGAAATCCCAGCAGACCTATTGATCTGGTAAGTACCTTAGTCACCACAGAGGTTTCACTAGAGAAAGCATTAATTAGGAAACAGTACACTTTTGGGTGTCCTCAACTGGGAAATCATGGTTTTGCTGAGTTTGTCACTGCTGTAACGGCAGGCTCTGGGTACAGAGTAACGCATTCGGATGATCCAATTCCAAGGGTTTTTTCTACTGAACCTCGGATTAACAAGACTTGGCAGTATAGCACAACTTCTCCTGAATACTGGATTACATCAGGAAATGGCGTGCCAGTCACAACCAGTGATATACAAGTAATTGAGGGCATTGACAATAGGAGTGGCAACCTTGGCACAACTGGTTCTGATACTTCGGCTCATATTTGGTATATTGGCAACATGAGCGGGTGCTCAACTAACTGAGTTCATTTCTTTTTGATTGGAGACTGGAGACGATTTTTCTGTTTCCAATGGTGTCCATTTTAAAAGTCTTTGATTTTAAGTGTTAAAATGACATATTATGCTGGACCATTTCGTCCTTGAAGACTTTCAGGGTTCAGATTAGCAGAACCCAACATGATTAATGACAAACTTTGCAATATCGCCCAACCCCACAACAAAAGACCAGAGAAAGGACTTGGGTCTTGGATTCAATCCCAGCGGTAATTCTCGAATAATCGTACTGATTTTATACCTTTTGAATCTGGCGTATACCAAGATGACGTATATACTCCCGTGTAGATTTCTTTCTATGAGGAGGAACAAAGGGCAATCTCCCTTCGACATACCACAGAATCTACTAAGATGAATGATTTTGTACAATCCCTGGTTAACTAGAGGAGTCTGCCTAAGTTTAGATAGCTATCCTTTTACCCAACTTCAACATTATACCATTCTGTGGCAACGTGTGTACGCTCGCGTTGCAAAGTCTGCTCCATACCACGCAGAGACTCCGTCGAAATTGAAAATCCTGGCTTATCTGTATCCAGCAGTCTCTTGACAGGAACTTGTTCTTCAAGAATCAACAATTTATCACTATTGGCGCGTATTTCTGCCCTTGGTTTGCTTCCTTTGAGCTGGCGGCGAAGGGTAGCCTCAGATACACCAACATCTCGGCAGCCTTCAATTTTTAAAATCTGAAATTTTTTGCATTATGGGCGGAAATTGCCACTTGCATTTGATTTCCTTGAGATAGAGGCATATTGTATAAAAATTGTGAAAAACAGACGCGAAGTGAAATGTTGGTTTGGACTTATGATGGGACGCGGGAGAAATTCGTACGTTACCGAACTCAGGCCACTCTCTTCTTTTCCCCTGCTGCCTCAGGCGAACATGATGGGTGATATAAGTACATCGTTCAGTTCAAATCAATGTCAATGAGTGTCAATAGGCATTTCGCATGATGCCAGTGGGAGTTAGGTCACCGGCATCGGAATAGAAGTCTGCCCAGGCACAAGCCTCATCCCAATACGACAGAGCCAAGAATGCAACCCGATAGCACCATAGTTGCTAACCCACTGCCCTCGAATGCGCCCGCATTCCAGAATGAAAAACACAATATCACAGTCTCGCAGATATATTGAGGAAGCGTATGCTACCTGGCTCCTCGGAATTTCTCCATACTTCTGATCATCTGATGGATATTGTAAACACAAAGCTGAAGGAACCTTCCACCGTTCCTCTCTTCGAATGCCTCCGTACCAGAGTAGTCCTTCCTCTGGCAGAGGGTGAATTTCAGCCGACATATTTCTACAAGGGAAGACGTCACGGATTCGTAAATAGTCTCCCCTCGGTTGAACTTCCACTTCGGTATATGCCGGGCCATTAACAGCCTTTCCATCTTTCTCCACCAATCCGATACACGATCGAGGAGGTTGCTGAAATAGCATTCGTTTCCAGCTTGCCCCTTTCCGGAGAAAAAGTCGGTCGCTCTGAGGATCGATCTGGGGTATCTCCGCCCCTCCTTCTACTGGCGGTGGGCTCGTACTGTTTGCTTGTCTTGCGCAAAACCATGGCCATATACATTCCTCTAGTAACGGGTTGCGAATGCCCGGCGTCCCGCGTGGCAGGGTATACCTGACGGGTTTAAAAAACAGGGCAGCCTGTAAGTCGTTCGAGTCCTGAACCAGGAAGTGCCATTTGCGGCAGACCCTTTGAGCGGACGTGAGTAAAGTGCGCGTGTCAGTTTCAAGCAGGATCAGTTCCAGGATTTCGGTTATCAGGAAAATCTTGTGCGGCTCTGATGAAGCCATAATTCGAAAGGTGGGATTTTGGATCATTCTATTGAAGGGCAGCAATTCAAACAAGACAGTCCGGTAGACCTGTTCTAATGAATGAAGGACAGTTTTTGAAAGGAGACCGCCAGAGTGACGTCGGTTCCCTCTACAGTACTACAACATCATCGGTACCTGAAATAGTTTAGTCGTGCGGGCTGGGCCGTGTAGCGGTATGACTTCCGTAGCCTAGCTGGAAAGTCAAAACATAACAGCTAAAGATCTCGCTGACTTGCTCAAGTTTGAAGCCTAATCCTTATAGTTTTATACTGAAATATAATTCTCTATCATCGACCTGGACAAGAATTAATGCAGGATGAAAGAACAGCTTAGATGTTACTATTCTTTTTAGGGTCTTTTGCTGCTGCCCTTCATGCTCGACTGTGCGTGCCGTTAGTAACCAGGCAGTATAGTCATACTCATATTTCATGGCACTGCTGCATATGCAGACTACAAGACTCGCTTCCTAGGCACCGTTACAACAACGCCAAGCCGCAAGAACTGTTAATACGCTTATGCGCCCTATAAACAGGGGAAAGAATCAAGTATCATTAAGCTTACTTGAGGCTTACTTAAGTTACTAACCATGCCTTTGGGACAGAAGCATGGCATTATGAAGGATCTAGGTTCGTCGGCAACGGGTGATCAGCAATGGCCATCGGAATTCGGCATATGAACCCTCAAGCCGGAGACTTTTTCGCAATAAACAATCCGATCGGGTAAATTGTCCAGTACATAGTTCGCAATGGACTTGTAGAGACCAAACGCCATGTGGCGGAGCGGAGCACGTCTTGGCGGGTTACATTTCCCTTTTCGGAAAGCTCTCCGGCCGTTATGACCGCAAACACTCTCTCTGTTCCCAGCAACTTCGGACGAACCGCTGCTTACCGAGCAATTTAAATCAAATCTACCTTCGACGCCTGTATAAAGAAGGAATATCCCAACCAGCAGTAATTCAAAAACTCCATCCAACCAATCAATTCCGTACCTGCAAGGCTGCAACAAACCTCAGCCGAGCAACCACTACCAAAATGGAAGAAGCACAAGTGTCCATGATGGACGGGAAGGTTGACGTCCGTCTGCAGCGTGTCCCTATCCCTAAGCCGGGACCCGGTCAAGTCCTCATTAAAGTTGTCGCCAGTGGAACAAATCCCAAGGACTGGAAGTTCCCAGCATGGATGCCACAGTTCAGCGGCACCAACACCGGCGATGATATTGCCGGGTATGTCCACGAGGTTGGCGAGAGCGTCGTGGGGTTTAAGGTGGGCGACCGCGTCGCGGCCTACCATGACTACAGGACACCACATGGCAGCTATGCCGAATATGCCATCGGGGAAGCCTATGCTACATTCCACATTCCGGAGACAATCTCCTTTGAACAGGCGGCTACAATCCCACTTGCGGCTATGACTGCGTCGTTGGCTCTGTTTTCTCGTCTGGGGTTGCCTGAGCCGTGGTTCAAGGAGAAGAGCTGGGCTCAGAAGCCAGAGGGGGGAGTGCTAGTCTACGGCGCTGCGAGTGCAGTGGGGACCTTTGCCATCAAGCTTCTCCAGAAAGCGGACATTCATCCTATTATTTGTGTTGCGGGCCGTGGAAAGGACTTTGTGCGCAGTCATCTCAGCGAGGAAAAGGGGGATGTGGTCATTGATTATCGGGAAGGGGAATCGGCTGTGGTTGCTGCGCTTAAGGAAGCCGTACCCAAGGGGAAGAAACTGCGTTATGCGTTGGATGCTGTCAGTGAGAAGGAGAGTTTTTCTGTTGTCTGCCAGGTGCTGGATCCCGCCGGTGGTGCGATGTCTGTTGTCAGTCCCGTGGGACCCGAGGAGTGTCCGGAGGGTATCCGTGTTGAATTCACCGACGTCGGCAGGGCTCACAAGGATGACAAGGAGTTTGCATATACCTGGTCGAGATTCTTCACTCTCGGTCTCAGTGAAGGATGGTTCACACCTCATCCTCATCAGGTCATCCCGGGGGGCCTCAGCGGAGTCCAGGTGGCGTTGACCAACCTGATGGAAGGGAAGGCTAGTGCAGTCAAATATGTTGTCAAGATTAAGGATGTGTAGACGTTTTGCTTCATGTATATAATCCCTTATCATTATTACATCTTGACCTCATACGACGTAAAAGACCACAAGAGTACTGAAGGAGAACTGGAGGTGACACTGCTATAATGACAAGCTGCCTACGAAGAAAGCGAATGGTGACCTAGACTCAGTACTACATTCAACTGAACGAGAGCTCCTCTATCCAAAAAGGCTCTTCGACATGGCTGTAAGGCTTGAAGCATCTCTTTGAATCGGCAAACGGAGAACCCTTGAACGTGGCATTGAACCCGTTGGCATTTCTTTGCCAGTGCTATGAATCTCGAGAAATTGTGGCCCGTCGATCTGCTGAGACAAGCCTTTGTTCCTTGGCTGTTGACGGATTCAAAGGGTAGTGAAAGGATTATGGCTAACAATGTCATAATAATGAAATGTCTAAAACATATGAATATCCATTGTTGTATGTTTAAAATAACAGCTCTATGCCTCGAGCTATGTCTCAAACCGCAATATCAATATCACTCCGAGTCTATCATTAACACCATCATCATCTCCTTCGGTTCTCTTATACTCCTCTACACCTCTGAACAACTCAAACCACACTCTCGCCTACAAAAATTATAACTGCCAAAAATACCTCACTCACAATGCCAAAGCAATCCAAGTTCCAACTCCACGAGGCCCGCCCGCACCTACAGAAGCTTCCTTCTGATTCGCTCCGACGACCCCGACCTCCCTGCTCTAACCATGCTCAGAGAAGTGCTGAAGGCCCTGCAAGCCGGCCGCGGCAACTTCTCCCCCCGCCGGGAGTCCTTCCCCGACACGCAGGTAGGCCATTCAATTTTCGAGATCATCACCGAAGATGATACACTCAAGGGACTGACCGATGCTGCTGTGCAGTGCATCGCACAGCAAATTGAGAACTGCGGCTATGACAATGACATGATCAGATGGGAGCAGTTTGTCGAGGGAATGGTTTGGATTGATTATAGGTATCTGCACTAGGTGAGTTCCAGAGCTGGCAGATTGGTGGGATTCGTCTCAGCTTGCTTTTAAGTCGATGATGAGGATATTGTTGGAAGTTTACTTTGCTGGGAGCTATCATCGGTTGAGCTACACAGTCAAATCTAAGGTCAAGTGATGTCTTGGCTGTCACGCCACCTAGTCACAATAGCTGGAAGCGGAGCTCTAAAACGAAAGCTTATCAGCAATAACAATGGCCGAGACTCTCACAACCAACCAAGGGTCAGTCTCTCTTTTCGATCATGGGGCGCATATAGAATTTATCCGCATGCAGCGTTAATCATTGCGTCTATGTCACTTGGCTATTTGTGTGGTGAGACAGTACTTACTGACATAATTGCTTCTTCTACTATGTGTTACTAACGTCACAACTAAAATTACAGGATTCGGTTCCGATATATATCAGCTTTCACTAATGGCTTAAAACAGGACTGTTGCTATAAATGCTACGAAAGCAGAATTCAGATTTATAAACAACCTAAAATCATTGAATATGAAGTTGCATAGTCTAGAGGAAAGGAGGTAAATTATCTTTTATTTCAGAGGTCGACGTAGCTAAACGGATTTGTGTCTAACATCCGCAAGGACCTTGATCCAGAGGATAAGAGCCCACTGGAATTTGCAGGATGAAATCCGTAAAGTTAACACAGGAAAAATTTAATTAACACGTCACAGGTTCCAGTCTGAGCTATAAATTCAATTGCTTTCTTGCATGCCAACAATAGATCACTTTTTGACTGCATGAAATTCAAAGGTTAAAAAACACTCTCTTCTTCCAGCGGTACCTTTTCAGAAGTGAACACTCGCACAAAGCGCATAGATACCCGAAGTCCAATACCTAAGCATCCATGGGACCGGTGGTATTATGTAACAATGCGTTTACGGTTCTTGCATCGGCCCCTGCAATTTTGTTCTTATCAGCAAGAATGAGAATTTTGCTCATAACGTCATATGTAGTCACTTCGCCTCTCGCCAAGGACGGATCACTTAGAAGACAGCAGGCCACTCCACCCACGTGAGGTGTTGCTAGCACAAGTTAGATGACTGTTTCTGTTATATTCCATGTGCATCAAGAGAGTCTCCTACCCATGGATGTACCACTGATAGTCTTCGTGCTGGTTGGGCCGCCTCTCCAGCAGGAAAGAATGTCCACGCCAGGAGCAAGAATGTCAACGACTGTATTACGGTTAGATATGTTTAAGGCAGCCAGACAAATCCGAGCTATTGGACACATACACTTTCCGTAACTTGAAAAATTGGCAAGTTGATCTTTAACATCCGTGGCCCCGACGGTAATAGCAAGGGGTTCGCGTGCCGGTGACTCGTTTACGTCCTATTAGCCCAAGTCAGCTTAGTTATAATTATTTGTCGCGCAGTTACTCACTTCCGGGTCATTTCCAGCTGCAACACAAACCACTACCCCTTTACGGACGGTTGAAGCAACAGCAGCATCAAGAGCGTCGCTTGGAGGTCCCCCAAGACTCATATTCACCACCGCACGGCCGCCCATGCCTTTCACAGAGACATCACTGACAACCCACTCAAGCGCCTTGATGATATCACTTGTCTGGGCAGTCCCTGTCCGGTCACCAAAGACCTTGACACCTACAACATTTGCCTTCTTCGCGACACCATAGGCCCGACTGGCTATTGTGCCTGCGCAATGGGTACCATGACCGTGCACATCCTCGTCATTAGAGACATTGTCAGAGACAAATTTTGGGCCCTTTGTGGCCCTCCCCTCAAATTCGACATGTTTGTCGTTTATACCAGTATCAATTACATATGCCACGGTGCCGCTGCCGGCGACATCATCACGATATGTGTAAGAGTATGGAGGGGCGCCAAGTTTGGTCCTCGTAGAGACGCGGCTGATACCCCACGGTGAATTTGGCTGGATATTGCAGTGGCGGTATAGCTGCTCTGGTTCAATAGATATAACCTGCGAGATCGTTAGTGTTAGTGTCTCACAGTCCACCATGTTCACATTGCTCGCTCACATGAGGTATTCTCTCCAACTCTTCTTTGGTTGCATCGTCGAATTTTGCAGAGTAGCCCTTTGAATCATTCAGGTCAAACCGCTGAAGAATATCCACATTGAATGGAGTTGCGGGATCTTCTGTTTTTTCTGCTAATAGCGACAGATGCTCCTTTTGTACCAGCTCAGGGGTCAGATAGGGCTTGACGCGAACGACCCATTGGCCAGGCACGGTAGTTTGTCCAGTAGTCATGATATGTTGAGTGGCCATATTCTTAATCTGTGTTCCACATACTACAGCAGAAAAGGAGAGGAGTATTTAGTCCTTGAAAATAGGATGGAGAAAAGAAATTTATAGAGGAGGACTGCCGTGGCACCACACTTGACGGATGATAACGTTTGAAAGGAATATGATGTTATCCCTAGCTAAAGGTGGCAAACGTACTTACTGACCCTGGTTCTAGACCGAACCTCTCTTCTAGAGATGGTCAAATCATCCTGAATGGGATCAAGTACTGGGAAGCTATTGGTTAAGTGATATCTCTTCTTGTCGTCTTTCTCTTCCCCGTACTTGATTTGCTTCCCATCTTCTCGATAGGCCACATGATTTTTGATAAATCTCATGACGAAAACTAACCTCACTGTGAATTAAGGTTGAAGCTGGAGGATCCAAGGAGCAGGAGGCAGCTAGGGGTGCCGTGACCTATGGTCAGTGAGGGACATATCCTATGTTTAGACGTCAACATCAGCGAACATTAAAGTTAATTTAGCCTTTGGCATATGCTGTTGAACCATTAATCTTTTATTCTGACACCGGAAAGTGATAAGTGATATTGAATGATGCAGAACCTTTGAAGATTAAGAATACAAGTTTCTTCAGGCTACCAAGGAATACTGATTTATCTCTAATTGCATCACTATTTTTGTAAATCATTTATGATTCTGACTCCAGAGGTTCGATGGCAGCATTTGGTAAGGTTAATTATTTAAGATTAGGCTTACATAGGAGTGAGCCTTTCTTCCCTCAACTAGTAAATGTTAGTATAACAGGTGATTTCAACTTAGAATTAACTTGAGAATCATTACTTGGTCGAATGGTTAGGCAGAGGTTAGAAAAGAAAATATTCCCCCTGAGGTGGGACTGATATTTCAAATGCTAACTCCCACAACAGATTTTAAGGGATCAAATTCAAATAAACAGTTATGATGAAACTCTCTTTACTCACTCCATGCGTCTTCACTGCTGCCCTTGCAGCTAGTCATCCAGCCAATCTAATTTATATAGCACCACTGCAATGCAGCCGTGGTTTCGCTTATTGTGGCTGGGATCTTAAAAATGAAGGTAAGCACAATACTGATATATAACAGGCGGTAGCTAAAGTGTTAGCCACTAACTAACTTGAACAAAAAAGGTTTTAGCAATCTCCCTCACTATAGTGATCAAGCAATCTATTATTGCGAAAATATCTACTATCCTGACCACGTGAAAAAGTGTGATGATAAGTGTGGCATGCAAGGCCTGCAAGCTGCTCCTTCAGGCGCGCTAAAGCACAGTCCGGCTAATGGCTGGGGGCCCCTCTATATTACCCATGGATCCTCCCCATACTCAAATTTCCCAAAATCAGGAGATAAAGTTGAGTCTTAAGTCTTAACTTTTTAAGATCATGTTATAATTCTATATCTAAGTAGATCTAAAAAGTTAAAACTAATTAAAACAGTATAATACTTATGCCAGCATATGCTTATATATATTTTGACTCAACATAGTATTAATAAACAAAAAGCTTAACAAACTGTGATATATTCCATCTCTATTAAGAATGAATTTCAAACAAACATGACATTAACTAAAATAACCAAACAGTACTCACTATTAAAGGTCAACCTAACAGAGTTAGATTGACCAACAAGTTCCCACCACTACCTTCCGTTCACCTTGCTACTGGGCAGCCTGGAACCATGTATTAATTTTGCAGATTCGTTTCCGCCACACAAGGGGCTTTTGTCGACGAAGGAAACTAGTAAATCAGTTGCTGGTTCATGGGCATCACCTGTTTGCGGCCACACCTTTCTTCTGGTCAGATGTTCCTATAATAAAGTTCCACATCAGTGAACGCCAAGACAGCTTTTAATCTTGGAGAATCATAACGAGCAAATGGGATGCATCACTGCATACAGTAGAAATACATTGCGTATCATATGCTGCGACATAAATCCCATATCATGTGAGATGGGGTGAGCGTCCTGTTCTGCAAGGACATCCATTAAGGATTTTAACATTCTAGAATCCAGGGCCTTCTGTAAACTTTACTAGGCAAGGGAAACAATGGCTTCTATTCTCTGGTGCCTACCATAACAGTTTTTATCTAGAAATTCCACGCTAACAGGCTAAGATGACAATAGCTTTGGCTCTTTCAGGTGGGGTGCCAGGTTAGTAACGTCTACGCTGTGACTCAGGCGTCGCTCTCGCTCCATCCTAACATTGATACTCTCCATACTCGGGTATACTACAGAGTGGTTTATGTGTAGCGAATCTCCCATCATCATTTAGACGATACCCAGATGTATAAGGGATAATTAAGCCAGGCTTTTTAAACGCCACCCATCCTCCACTCCTCCGCCCCGACGATAGAAAACAACCAACCCACCCACCGGCCCCCGGGTCCTGGTCCTTCTGGGTAGGTCATTTCAAATCATAGTTATGGTCTCCAACGTACTGTCCAACCATGAGTGGCGTAACCATGCTAGATCTATAAGCCAACTTTTGGTTCTTGGTGATCTCATCAAGGGCCAGAGTTAATACAAATCAAGAGTGATTGATTAATTGTCTGGTTAACGTAACATCAGGGTTGCAAGAGTCGCAGGTAAACATAGAGCGTAGAGGTGTAGAGTATTACAGCATCATTAGACATCATCTGATAGCTAATTATCATTATACGGTGATAAATACGTAATTATACTTATCATGTAACTACATTAGTATCTCGATAGTTGTGATTCTTGACGTAACATTACTGAAAGCGCTTCATTTAAAACATGTAATGGATCATGAGACCTAGTGGCGAGATGATGATGAGACGAACCTAACAGACAAGAGGCAGATCCTGGAGAGAACATGGACATCTTAGTACCAATCTGCTCTCACGGGGGAGGGGAAGGCAGAAGCTATAAATTTGGACAGAATTCCCATACCTCCTTTGGAACTCCTCCTGCATCAACAAGAAATAAACAAAGCTGAACCTTCTTCTTTCGAATATCTATCCAGACATTCATCATTCGATATCATGGTTAATTGCGGCCCTACAATTGGAGGTAATGGTGGCTCGGAGTTCAAGAGCTTCCGTGAAAGGCCCGTGGAACAGCTGGACGTATGGTACGGCAATGGCAGTGGTGACGACTTTAACAAATATACTATCCTGAGAGGTATCAAAATCCGTTGGGCCGGCGGTGAACAGAGCCGCGATATTGGACATTGCCCGGAGAAAGAAGAGCGAGGAGTCCTCCATACAAGTTTCGATTTTGAGAGAAATGGCAACGATCCACTAGAATGGATGGATATATACGGCTCAGCTTCGCGGGTTGATTCACTAAGATTGGTGACCAAGGACGAGAAGGACCACTTCGAAGCTGGAGGAGTTGGTGGTGACAAATGCGTTCAACCTGCTAATGGTAGGAAACTATATGGGTTATACGGACGGGCTGGAAGTGATATTGATATGCTAGGGGCAGTCTTCGATCATTGACAGCAGTGAGTTCAACGATACAAGATTATATATGCACCCTAACAAAGGAGACAGATATCTGCTTATAATTTTGTCATTCAGGGACTCAACTCTCCTACTGTTACTTGTGATTCAGTCTCTAGTTGCACTTCAACATGCAGCATAATGCTATTTTCTACGAAGACTGACTTTGTACGTTTAAGAGGCTTGAACTCTCCTGTTGTTGTTTTAATATTATTTGCAATGATAATGCAGTAATGCAACTCAACACTACTTGGCGTTAACTCATTAGTTAACTGATAGGAATACTTATCGGTGAGATTTTGATTTTCATACCTAGAATAGGACTGGTGAAATAAAAAGACAGTAGGAGACTCACTGGGGGTGTCTCTGCAAATGTGATAGTCAGTCAGGCTAGACGTGATGACATTTCATTATTATCTAAGTAGCCTACACAAGAATAGTAAGCACAGGGAAGGACGGGAGATGGGGGAAGTCATTCGCAGATATTTGTGCGGTCATCACTTACGGGGTATGTGGAATGATGATCCCAGAAGGGCCAGGACTTTATACCAACCTCAAGATCTTGCGGAATACATGACCCATCTTCCGGAAGATACGTTGTTCGAGATTCTCACATCCTCAGCAGCGTTCTATGTCTGTCTGGAGAAAGAAAAGGCGGCCAAGAGTATACTATATGATTTGTATCAAAATATAATACCACTAGGCTAAAAATGTGTCCGGACATTAGTCCTATCAGTCTAGGGTCTTATACTTTTCAACAATTTGCCATTGAGATTTTCCAACGACCAACACTAGCCACAAAGATGATTCAGTTCCCCTAACTATGACCATAAAATATTGAATTACTGTAGTATTAATATTATGTTCTCATCTAGTAACGATATCGAATGCCATCTAGTAGAGATCAAATTTAATTCTATTTAATCATCCATAATATACCTAGATATCTACTAGGCTTACCTAACTGAATCACCCAACATTTAGTTAAGAATTAAAGCTTTAGTTAAATATCTGCTTATCTCTATAAGAAGTTCTGATTTTACTATACTAGGGATAGTGCAGTGTGTGCGACCATACTAAGGTAAGATGTAGTCATTGTAAAAATGCAAAAGTTCCTTTTGTACAAATAGTCCGCCGTACAGCCCTAATCTTCTTCGAAAAGAATGCTGGCACCGGCGACGCCTCTCTGAAAGCGAGCAGGGGTACGACCCCACCGATCCATCCCATCCGCACTTCTAGTTTGATTCTGAACTACTAGACTACGTAGAAGTCAATATTCCACTGTTCTTCGTCAACCGCGAAGCCCGCAGGATTGCTCTAGCCTGGTGCCACGAGCAGGAAATCTCACTCCGCTTCTCCCGCAACCAACAGTCTGCTATCTTTTCGCGCCCGTTCAACTCAAAGCACGACTACTATATGTCCCGCTTGATCAATGGGACGGCTGCCTCTGCGAGCCGTATGATGGAATGTTCACACCTGAATCGATTGGCCAGTGTGTCAGCACTTATGCTCTCGAGCTGGCGGCCATTGCTGTTCCTGAGGCACAGGTTTATAGCAACCCCGCCGTACTACATGAGATGTTCGAGTGGCCCTATTATCGAGTGGTGCTGTATGTTGTACTCGGCTCACCGCGGGATCTGCGGTTGGAGTATGCAGGGCAAAATGTCCAGCGGCGATGGGAGGTTCAGACCCGGCCCGGGGGGTCATTGTTCTATACCTGGAAGGACGGCGGTGGTAGCTTTGACGAGGGGGATAGTGAGCATTCTGCTCATAAGGACTTGTATGAGCGGTCAAGGAGGCTAGTAAAGGGCTCGGTGAAGGGATTACGTTGCACAACGTCCGCAGCTTTGAGGTACTGCCTGTGTTTGCCGTTCGAGATGAGTGCAGTACATATTTTATGATTTGAGATGATGTATTACACATAGACCTGTGGTTCATAGATTATCGGGCTCTTTTGAGGAAGATCAGCTATGCTACTTAGGAAGTAGAAATTGGAAGATGATCAAGGATAAATCCTAACCATGCGCGAGCAATGAATCTCGGCGAGGTCAAGAACCATGCCTGATCCAGATAGAGGGGGTATCAATTTTTCATTGCGTTTCAATTTCCGAACACCTATTCCTACGATAATGGATGAAAACAGTAGAATGCAAACGAGTATTAAGATAAAATCCATGGTAAGCTTCAATATGCCTTCTGCTGCCAACAATCTAGGCTAACAGTCCGAAAAGGACGGCCTTTTTATAAGATTTTGCATCTTGAAACGTGCCTAGCAGCAGATAGTATTAGACATGCGGCTTGTCCAAAGCTCAGCCTGCTAAAGAATGAGGAGTAAAGTGCGCCTATGCCCTTGACTCAGGCTAATGCAGTTCTCCCGTGCGTACCTGAATCAGAGCATTGAAATATATTACATGGCCCCAGCTACGAAAAGCTCAGACCTGAGACTCTTCAACGCAACGGCATTATTATCAAGATAGAAATCAGCAAGGACGGCTGGCCAGAGGAGAGTGCACAAATCAGAGATCAGATCCTCTCATTTGACTGTATCATTCCACCCAAAGAGATAAAGTTATATGTTTTCCAGAAGGTGGTTCTTTGTTAAAACACTGACTCCGTACCCAGTGCCTCGAACCTCATATTTTGACCAAGCTGTACAAGCAACTACCGCAGCCGAAGCGAGATAGGTGGTTCAAGAGAGAAATGGCATGTAATAGAGAGTGTCTCCATGGACAAAATGAGGCGGAAAACAGGCACCTGGAAAATTTGACAACAGCGTATACTGTTGCACTGAGAAAATCTCCAGCGGACAGAAAGAAAAGTCTTAATCTATTTACTTAGTACTAACATGCAGTGGACTGGGAGCACAAGGGTGGCATGCACGAGGGCAAACTAGGAGGCAAGCTCGCCGACTATGTATTCAAGAAATAGCGCGGTAGGTAGAAAAAGATACATGTCTAATAGGCAGGTAAGACGAATTTCGAATTAAGGCAAGGGTTCCTGGGCCGGTCCCACCGACTAGCTGTAGGGATTTACAATCATATGGCTTCCTGTGTAAAGCTAAGACGACGCCACACCCTACAGGGTCCTGAGGTAGGTTATAATGCTCGCAAGTCAATCGCCTAGAGTTACATTTCATTTGCATGTGAACCCTAGTACACTTAGAGATCTCTATTAATTAATGCTAGGTCTGCGCCCATGAGCAGGGCTCAGACCACATGTGTGGACTACCTATTTGAGAGACAAAACCCATCTCTATTTCCTGTAAAGATGTACAGATGAAGCATCAATGCATTTTACAGAGCGCTAACTCAACAGGAAGAGGTTACTCTATCCGACACAGTGCTCTAGGTGTCTCTAGGAATGACCAGAATTTAACCACCTAGTGGTCTACCGCCGGTGCAAGGATCGTACTTGGCGTAAATGGCGGAGCTTCCATGACATGAGGGCATCCCTACCAGACTACTCCCTAGAAATCTACAAGTACTTGATACTGACTCGAAAATCGCGCATGTGGATACAGCTGGCCAAGCTCTTACACAAGTAAACTCCAGCATCTCCCCACGACTGCGCTGCCTGGTATGCTCAAACTAATCAGGTTAATGCCCACAGTAAGACACTGGAAGCCGAAGCCAATGGTTTTCGTGTCATAGCAACAATAGCACTAGACAAAAGTACCAACCTACTTTATGTACACCGTGGGAGGGTCACGAACTTGTAAAACTATATGCAATGCTATTAAGTCTAGCAAGGAATCTCGGGAAAAAATCTGCCCACACTAGTTCAAAAATCACGATGTGGCATGGGATTGTTATCACAGATATGGCTTCTCTGTGAAGCATTTAAGTGTGGTCCCAGCGTACACAGTTGTATAACCTGCGAGACACTACATATCAGAGAGAAGAGCCCCTGGACATGGAATTGGACACATTCAGTTATTAGATTATAATGGCACACTCCCACAGCCTCCTTTCCACTGTAGTCAATCCCTGTTGATATTGTTGATATCTTAGCGGTTGTTTAACCATCGGTGAAGCTGCATCATGAGCCAATCTTCCCCTTCCACATACACACTTCCAATCAGGAAACCATTCAGTTCTCGCTGTTTGTTGAGTACTGTGGCATTATGCCTATCCGTATATCCTTGTTAGCGGTTATGAGCTTCCAATATTTGAACACCGGCCTGCAGCATCTAGGTTACATTTGCTATTATCCGGGATGCAGCCGAAAGGATTCTTGCCGTGACTATGCCAGCAAGTGTACCGTCGTGCGAAAAGCTCCCTAGATGGAGAATGCAAAATCCATTTGTGGATCTTCGTTTTCACAGCCTAGTACTGCGAGAGGGTATGCATTGGCTGCTTTAAAGAAATCTAGTAGAAGAACAGAAATGAGTGTTTGATCAAGTGTTGTTGGAAGTATGAGAATATTCTGACTAGCTTCTTGCCCTTAGATCACTGGAATGCGAGCTGTAGCAAACCGCTTGATAGCCTTTCCCGAGACAGTCATAGTCGAAGTGATCTGGCTGTTCTCTCTGCTAGCGAGGGCCGTGACCGTGTAACTTGCGAACTTGACGTTTCTGTTTGGGCGACTCGACGAGGACCGCGGACACTCGTTTACACCGCGCAATCCAAACGAGGTGGGTCAGGTAGAACTAATCAACAATGCTAATGCAATTGTAAGCAATAATGTACCTTGCGGAGCCGCCGGGCTACCGACCTAGGATGCCTAGCATAGACAAGGATGCGCGAAATTTCTTTAGCCAATAAAAACATAGTATACATCGTAAAACCTGCCCACTTAGCTCTGCCAGTTATGACACTTCACCTGCATCGTCCAGCTGGCTTTGACTTAGGTATTTCGGCACGTCCAAAACGTTGTTCCTTTCCTCCTGTCCATCACCCAAAATGTTGCCAGAAGCTTTGATCCCGCTATGGTGGCTAGTGAGTGTACCAGATGACCTAACATGAGTTGGATGCTCATTCCTGCCTAACCACAGGTTCAGTACTCCAATGCGATGGTCATCGAAACCATTGCCACTGTCGAAAGTCCCCGATCCGGCATCACCGACTCTTTACGCACCACAATCCACCATTTACGTGCCACCGCCGGTCCGTTGTTCTGGCTCCGCGGATTCTTATTCTTTATCGTATATGATTTTACATGGAGTGCTCTACTGCCAGCACTACTCCCAATCAGTGACAGCTCCTCATGGAAAGGACACCTACGCTCATTTCTTTTTCTCGCCTTCCTTGCGAACCTGCGAGTTCTCTGGGTCCACATCATTATCACTAAACCATCCGCAAAATACACACATCAGAGACTCCCCGGACTCAGATGTTGGATTCGCATTGTACCCGTCATCGTCTTAGAGGCCGTTACGCAGTGGCTGGTGCCGCTGTATGCTACGGATCTCGCAATTTATCTCTCAAACCTATCTGGGTTCACAGATCTTCATGATCCAGAAGGTGTCCACATACTACGTCGAGGCTACAAGCTCGGCATTCTGGGCCTGATGCCATGCTTCGTGACGTGCATGGCTGTACTTCCGGCACGAACTGCTTTTATCCGGATGGCGGCGTCCATGCTCCCCCACGATGACGAGCCGATCGTGCCGCTTGATCCGAGACTGAGACAGAACCCTCCACCTGGGATTCTAGATGCATGGTATAGTCTATCGGACGCGGCATGGGCGCGCGTCTGGAAGATCCAGGCCCGGGCATATATCATGTCTGCTGGCATCTTTTTCCTAGGAAAAATGGTCTACCAGGACTTTCATAGATTTGCCATGATTCCCTTGATCTGGTTTAATGGCGGCTGAATACTCTTTTTATGGGGAGATGGTACGGAGTCTTACTTTCGCCTTACATTACTCTCGAGAGGCTCAGCCGAGAATTGTTAGCCGTAGCGAGACATCAAATGTAGGGTAGCCAGTGAACTTCTACAGAACTGTCAAGGCCTCACTGGCCAGTCCAGAGAGGGGAGTGTCAACGCCAGAGATAAACACGGCTGGATCGCACTGGTATGGGCGGAAAAACACAAGGACGAAGAATTAATACAACGATTGCTGGAAAGCGGAGCAGATCCTTCGTTGGTGCCAAAAGGGCCAAGTTCATGATCTCACATGGGTTGTCCTTCAACGCTAGGAGCAGGTCAACTGCGGAGCCCACCCCGATACATCCTTTGTCGTTTCGATGAGGTCAGGTTACAGGTCAGGTGGACCTTGAAAAAGATGAGGTGGACGCCCCACCTGTCTTGGCACTCCCAACCTCCCAGGTCAACATTTAAATACTGTAATGCATACCATGAAATTCGTTTTCAATTTCTCCTCCGCAATTATCTGCACACTAATTTAAACTCGAAACCACTTATTAACTGATTAGTTACTGCGTCTGTATTGATAATATGGATTCAGAGGCTCTCTTAATAAACTGTGGTGAAATAGATGATGTCTCCTTGAATGAAGAGGAGAATGAAGAGGTAAGAATCAGAACTGCTTTTCAAGTACTTACTAACTGATTTTTGACAACCTAGGCCCAGCCAAGCTGCTTTACTCAGTTAACAGACGCAAAAACTCATCCACTTCAAACACTGTATATTGAATACACAAATGATTTGCCAGAGTATCCAAGGACAGATCCAAATGGATATACCTATGTTATTCCAGTGAATAACTACTCTCAAGAAGAAGCAGAGCAATTAGTCAAAGATGTAAGTACTTATCAAGTGCTTGCGAATCTCTCTTACTAACCAATTCAAAGATTCAATATTCTCGAGCGAGTGTCCAAGGTGCAAGAAAGAATATTAAATCATCCTTTTTGAACTGCCCAGTTAAGAAATGGATATGGAAATGTTCTGGAGCTCTAGTATGTGAATATCTGAAACCAGATCTACGCCTGCTGCACCATACTTTTTTAGATGAGGCAA